GGTTGACATGTGTTAATGTTCATGTTCATGTGAGATTCTGTGCTCAAGATTTGTTGCAGCTGCCTTTCACTTTGTCATTGTTTGTCATGGACTCAGCCATGGGCAATGCAGATCCAATGTCTGCCAGCATGCAGTATTGGCCCTTGAGATCTGAAGAGGCATTGCTTGCCCTCTTCCCAGCACATATGAAAATGCAGTGGTGGCATGAAGGACAACCTCGCTTTAGCATTGGCTTCTGGCATGGTACATGGTGGCTCTCAGCCAAATATGAGAACCTTTGGGAAGAAAGGTGGTTTGGACTGTGCATATAGAAGAGTTTTTAAAATCAAGTTTTAACATATCATGAAAGTATGTATAAGTAGTTTGTGTGGGAAACCATTTGCGACAGTGTTCAGGATCACCATTGCCAGAGGATTGGAAGATCAACTGGGCTTCACCAGGTATCAAGCTGGTGTCATTGTACATATATTGGACTTGATGTCCATGGATTGGTAATGAGCTGATGTATGATGTGTGAAAAGAAGCATGCCTTAAGCCCTGGGTCAATAATTCATGCAACATTTCATGCACGGGTTTTGTCATTGTTATGTGTTTCTGTTTGGCCTATTGAGGCTTCAGCAATGCCTTTTGACATGCATTTTGTGTAGTAACCCATGTGCATCATGCAGCATTGAGAACACTTGCAACCACTTAATTGTCATGTGGTTTGAATTGTCACTTGCAACCACCTGTATTTGGCATATGCAAGGCTGCTCATGTCATATCATGGCCTGCTCAACACTTGTGAGGTTCATGTACATTGTTTCATTGCTGCCCACCAAACCTCATTGTCACTGCATTGCATGCATGTGTGACATGTCAACCATTTGATTGCAGTGTTTCTTGCACAAACCAGAGTTTGAAGTAGCATTTGTGTTTTGCTCTGCTGATTTCACCATGATCAGCAGCGATGTCATCGAGGATGTGGAGAACATCATCTTCTCAGGGTTGGGGCTGCTCAACAAATGGGCACAAATTGAGAAAATACTCTTGTCAAATGGATTGGCATACAAGCAAGAGCTGCCACCAGAGCTGTTTGTGGTGCACCCCTCAAACAGGGGAGGGTTTGGCATAAATGCATGGAATTGTCATGCCAAGGGGTCTATGATTTGCGCCATGGGTGCAGACCTTTCCCAGCTGACAGGGTCTGTTGCTTTTGAGATGTCAGCAGCAAAGAAGGATGAACAAATCAAGTTTACCAAGGACCTTGCACTTGCAAGTGAAGGGCTCCTTGCCATTCCTTCTGGTGCAGAGCGGTTCATGACAGTCAGCAAAGGGCACACTACTCAGTTCATGAAATCCATCAAGAACTCTTGCAGGACCCCCCAAGCTAAGTTGGCCAGCCAAGATGGTCATTTGGGAAGCCACCTGTTTGCAAAGGATCCTTCTTTGCAGAAAATGGTCCAGACAGGGTGGACTTGGACAATCATTTTGTCCATTGTGGAGGACAAGTTCCCCCAACTCCCAGCATTGATTGAAGCTGCATGTAACAGCACCAATGCCACATATGAGGCACAGAATGAAATCCAGCTCATGTCAGCTGTGGTGAGTCATGTCAAGAATGTAAGTTCAAAAGATGGAAAGCATGACTTTGCTGCAATTGCTGATGGACTTTGCCTTGGTGGCCCCATCAAGAGCTATGCACCTATGGTGGGGAGGTATGTGCAAAGGCATGGAGGCATGCAATTATTGATGTTGTATTGCATGCGTGCACTCTTCATGAGTGTTGCACCAGTGGCACTCATTGCTCATGAATGCTCATGTTACTACTCACATGCATTCATTGGTTCATGAGGTTTTCATGGTTAAAGTTTGTTCATGAGTGTTCATTCATGGCTGTTCATTTTTGTGGGTATTTGCAGGTGGAGCTGATGGAAGTCTTGTTGACTTTTTGGCGCACATGGGCAAGGCATTTGGTGAGAATGCAACCATTGGTGAAGAGTGCATGAATACCTTGACAGAGGTGAACCTTTCCAAGTCCAAGTTCTTCACCATGATCAGAAGTGCCATTATTGTCACCAATGTGGTTGTGGGTAAGTGCACTGATGGGGTGGCTAAGCTAGTGACAAAGAGTGACATCACTGGCCTCAAGTCCCCCAAGAATCTCACCATGATCCTTGAGGTAGAGGCATTTTTGGAAATGGCATGGAACAGTGCTTTGTCCCAAATTGCTAGTGGTAAGAAGAAAGCTGATGTCTACAAGGTGTTTGGCATTGCAGCAATCAGGGCCACTTTAATGATCTTCAAGAAGGAGAAGTCTGGCTCTGAAGGAAAGAAGTACTCCTTGAAAGACATTTCAGACCTCTTCAACCAAGAGTTGACCAAGGGCCATGCAGAATTGGGAAGTGCCAGTTCACCCTCAGCTGCCAAAAAACAGACCACCTCACAAACTCCAATTTCATTGAATGAGGGGAAAGACAGCATGTTCATTGCCAAGCTAAAGTTGGGCTTAGAGCCAGGCAGCCACTACACCCTCAAAGACTTTGACAACAGGGTGTGGACTTTAGAGAGTATTTCATCAACTGAGGCTGTGTTTGTCTTCTACCCACTGTTGGAGCCATCCAAGAAGACCACTGTCAAAATGAGTGCTGAGGAACTGGTTGAAAAGGTGAAGGGTACCAAGTCCAAGCCACCAGTACTTCTATGTGATGATGAACTCAGCAACTTGTTTCCATCACCCAATTCCCAGGAGATAGTGAAATGTCAGTGCTTTCTGGCCCTCATGGAGGTGTACAACACAGAAGATGTAGATGTTGGTGATATCCTTGTTCAAAAGCAACCCAAGATGGTGGTGTTTGCCAAGAAGGACATGAAGGCCAAGAGCTTGAAGCTCATTCCATGCCCAGAAGCACCATCATCACTGTCCTTGAAAGAGCCCAACCTTGCAAATGTCAGGCTTGGAAAGTGCAAATTTCAAGCGACATGCTTTTGGATCAGTGCCATGAAACCTATCAAGCTTCCCAAAGCTGAAGATCCTGATCAAACCATCAAAGGAACCTTTGCACCATATTGGGCTTGTGCTACAGGGGCTGAGGATGGCAACTTGGAAGAGAAGACTCTGACCTTCAAGACTGAGCTTGGAGAGATTGAGGTTACCATTTTGGTCAATCCAGCCCCTATCCTTGCTCATGATCCATTGACTTTGAAAGTCACAAAGAAAAGTGATCCTAGAATGCCTGATGCAAAGAGAGCCAAGAGGGCATGGAGTCTAGATGCATGGGCATGCAACATAGTGCTATACCAACCAAATGTATTCATGTATCAGTGTTGGGTTGCTGATGTCAACATGTGAGCTTTTGTTTCTTTGTTGAGCTTGTTGAGCTTGGTGCTTGGTTGGGGTGAGGTTGCAGCCATGCAGTATTGGTTGAG